GGCGGTATTGGAGTGTCCAAGACCAGAAACAACGGCGGAAGCAATCAGACCGAGGCCAGCGATGATAGCAGTAGCCCACTTGACGCCAATCAAGTCGACGGTCTTTCCGTTGGAAATGTCAGCCTCGACACAAGCCACACTGTCCTTGGTGTCGGTCATGTTAACGTAGACCTTGACGGTGGCGTCGAGATCAGGGATGTTGTAAGCAATTCCGGGGATTTGGCTGACAGCGTCTTCGCCAACCTGGAGGTTGAAGTTCATGGTGATCTTTCCTGCAGTCATGGGGCACAGACCAGCGAGGTTGATGCTGCATGGGTCGACCGTGCGTCTCATGAATTCGTAACCGTAGACGGAAATAGCAACATCGAAGACGATGCTGCCCTGGACGGAAGAAACGGCGACGATATTGATGGCGGCACTTCCGTTGTTAGGGGTGAAGACGACATTGAACAAACTGGCCGTGAAACTTGAGTCATCCTGGCAAGTGTTGAGCGACTTTGAGACGAGCATCTGCTCAGCAGCCATAACCGGGGTGGTGACATAGGACGCGAGAGCGCCCAGCAAGAGGAGCGGCTTCGCGAATGAGAAGCGCATGGTGAAGAGAGGGTGAGTGGTCGTTGCTAAGCAAGTGAGTTAAAAGGAAATTGAACGGTCGCCGGCGGGTGGTGGTCGTCGGTTTGGAACGGTCGAAGCGAGAGTGGTGAAGAGAGTCGAGGCCGTCTAGGTCGAGTGTATCATGGGGATTGGTGGTTCACGGATCGTTCCAGACGGGATCGCGTTGGTAAGGAGATGGGAGAGAAGCGAAGGGATTGATGCGGTCGCTCCGGTTGATGGTTGAAAAGTCGAGGTTCTCTCCAGACGGAGTGAGTCGCAGGGAGGTCTGATTCCGTGGCAGGGGATTGGTACTAGCGAGGGTTATCTGCCGGTGATTCCACCTGGTTGGCGAGGTGGTTCCTGCTGTCGATTGTCCGTCCCTTTCGATTTCCGTTCAGGTCCCAAAAACAGCCTCCTTGATCCCCAGCAGCGGATGCAAACGCAACAACGGCGAATGGCGTCGTGGTCGAGGTTGGGGTGCCTCAGTCAGGGCGCGATAAGAAAGCGGTTATCGTGTCGTATGGTCGTTGTCGTCAATGGTCGTAGTGTCAATCGTTGGTTCGTAGAAAAAGGTCTGGACGGTCGGCGGGGAGGGGGGGAGATGGGAAGGGTGGGTTTTGGTGGTTTTGTTGTTGGCGGGAGATTGGAAAGGAAGGGAGAGAAGGGAAGGCGATCGCCAAGCGAGGGTGGATGGGGACAGCAGGAGTGATGAAAGGAGGCGCTGCTGCTACCGCTGCTGTGACCTGCGGTGGTGGTGGTGGTGGTGGTGCCGGGTGTGCTGGGCTGGGCTGGGCTGGTCAGTGGTTTCTCTGAGACGGCTGGTCTTGGTGGTTCGGATTCAGGGAAAACTGGGCAATGGGTAAAGAGCGTGAGAGCGTCGTGCCAGGGGAAGACCCATGGGAACAGGGGCGGTTCTTGTGTCTTGAGGACAGGGGTAACCAAGGTTGGCCGGGGCCAAATACGGGGGTGCGGGTGGGAGGGAGGGAGGGAATCCCGCGCAGTTGAAGCGTGAGCGGTGGATTCCCTCGCGGTCTCGGGATGCGGTTGTGGATGGATTTGCGTGTATGCGACAGGGGTAATGACGGTACGGGGTGGTGCCGGCTTGGGCTGCGTAATTTCGATTTTTGGGGGGAGGGGAGCGGATGCACGAGTTTAGCACTCGCCTCGTAGCACCCAGCAAGTTGGTCTTACTACCACATAGTGGTGCTGGCAGGGCCTAGCCTGTGTGCAGAACCTGCGGTACGTACTCTTCGTTAGCACAGAGGCCGCGTTCCATTTACACGTCTCTGCATGCAAGAGTCGCTGCTGCTATGCATGCTTAGGCGAGGCTGGATCAATACGATGCGGCAACAGCGGATCTACTTCCTGTACTATACAAATTTGAGCGACAGGCCACGTACCGCTCCCGTACCCGCGCCCCAATACTCGACTCAGCTCGTATAGCTGCTAACAGAGATACACCACACTTAAAAACACGGGCGCGTAAGGAAGGGGCGACAGTCCAGACGAACACGCTTGACAACCACAGGCTGCATGCACAAACAGAGTAATCTGAAGTGCTGTCAGCACTGTACGAATCCTCCACTCCATCGCACCCGACACCACACCTGCCTGTTGCTGAATTACGAGAGGAGATGTGAGGCACAGCAGCATGTCCTGTATGCTGTCCGGGGTTGCTCACTCACTGAGGCGACCTGATTCTTCTTTTGGGCAGCCCGTAAAGTCGGTACCTAGGGAAACAAAACATCTCGCGATCCATCTCTCCCCATCTCGCTGCAAGGTCCGAAGCAGGTTTTTGGGCGGTCCAGTCCCTCTGACGACGGCTGATTTTCGCTGATGAGCGCTCCTGATGCACACCTCACCCGCCCGCCTGACGCCGTCCAATGCTGTCGAGACGCCAGCAGCAACACAGACAGGATCTCCGTCGCACCTCGTGCATGGCGGGCTCCCGCAATCATAGCGTCATTCAAACCTCGACACTGCACCGCCATCCGAATTCTCAAATGCAATAAGCAGTCAGCCAAGACGGTCCGCCATGCACACCAAAAAGTTGTTTACCTTTACGAGTCGCTTCCAACCCAGCCAGCCCAGCCAACCGTCCCATCTCCATCTCCATCTCCTCCCTCCCGCCTCTCTCTTTTGGGCCTTGTCTCGTGTTAACTTTTCCCAAATTTGACTACTGCCGTCCCTCACACAGCAACCACGGTCACAAGTACACACGCCGTTCATCGTCATTCCCTTTTCTCCAGCCTCTCTTTTCTCACCACCCATACAATGCCGTCCGAACCACCATCTCCTCTTTTCTTACCCATCGTAAGTACGGGGTAGGTCAGGGCCAAGACCCATAGCTTTGTCGGGTCCCGAATGTTCCAAAATGCGTCCAAGACCCTTCCAAGACTTCCAAGGCGACACTGCCCAAACAGCCCAACACGGGAACACTGACGCAGAATCAACAACAACAAATGTCAATCGGTATGTTGCTCATCGCCCGCGCGCCCATACAGACGCCGGCAGCAGCCATGCCGCCTGCGACATTGAGTGTTTGGGTCGCCGCCCAGGCCCAGACACAAGCCAGCAGCCAAACTATCAAAACCGCTAGAGAAAGCCGCAAACCCACACTTCATTTCAATAAACCTCAAAGTTGTCGTCGCCCTCGTCTTGACTCTCGAGCACTGCCACATTCCCTCTCGACGGGAAGGAACACGACGGCCGGGCATGCATACGTACGCCTTACTCCAGCCAACCATGCCCACCATGCCATGCCTTGCCCTGTCGGGGGACCGCTTGCGCTTGCGCAGCTTACCTGAACAACCGGCTTCCGGGGAGACTCAACAGAGACACCCGAACGAGGGAGGCTCGCCGTCCGTTTCTACGAGAAACATGTCTCTGCATCTGTTAATCACGAGTTAAATTCCCATCAAAGAGGCTTGACGTTACCGATGCATTCCCCGCTACGGATACCTGCCTGCGTGATCTGCCACCAGCGAGATACAACTGGTTGGTTTGCTGGGGAAGGGAACTACGAGCCTGAGACGTCTAAAATTGGCCAAGGCACCAACAAGGCGGCTTCGTCGATTGGACAGCCAGTCCAACACTGACAAGGGACTCTCGTGCTCATCGGCGCCCACTGCTCTCTCTCTCTCTCTGTGTCCCAGTGCCGTCACCCGTTCAAAAGTATACGGTCTTCACCAGAGATCGATGCCGGTTATCCTCACCCTGGAACACTTCCGGCAGCACCATCGTTTTCCCCCTCACTGCGAGCACCCGGCCAGTGACATGCCAAGTCACAGCCCACCACATGCGCGCTAACAGCGACGGATTAACGTCCTATGTTTTGGCCCGAGAACGAACCGCTGGCCCGATGTACGAGGAGTCTCCAGCAAAAGCAGGTCTGGGCACGCACCGGTAGGCTGTGTTTTTTTAGCCATCAAACCATGACTTCTGGAGACTTGCCTTATCGAGACCCGGAACTGCAACCTTCCAAGCCTTTCGTTATTGCTGGCTATTAACGTTTTATTACGAGGTTGATTTTTCTCACCCACCAATGACCACGCCTCGCACAGGCTCCTCTCCCGCTCACGCTCGTCACCCATGTTTTTCTTCGTCCGTCTCTGCCGTCTTGTCGCGGATCATGGGTGCATCGCCACGATTCAGCTCGAACAAGCTCCAACGTTCCGACTCTAGACGAGCGCACATCAAACATTATTCAGAAACAATCTCAATTGCAAGAGCTCCAAAAACCCCACATTTTCAAATTTCCCTCTCCTCCTCCAGACTCCAGTCCACCACCATAACGCAACACCTGCGTCGAGGCCTTGACAGTGGTTCATCTCCAACCGCTAATTCAAATAAACAATCCCATGGATGTGGGCTCTTCTGGCGATTGGCACGAGCATTTCATAACGCTCATCATACCAAAGTGGTTCTCACATGCCATTAACCTTCTCCTTGCATCGAGTAGTTCTCTGCATGTTTCTTCCTCGCCAGGCCGGACTCAATGGCGCTGTCTTAGTAAGAGATGGCCCGGTTGCAAGTGCACCCCTTGATTCTTGTAAGCCGGTGCACCATGTAAGTGCATAGCTTATAAGTAACGAACGATTAGATGCATAATCAGCTCCACTCATCGCGAAAGAGCTCATGCGGTACGCCCTTATCTGGGATAACAGACTTCCAGGGACCACTGCACTGTCCGCCGGCCTTTCACGCCCAATCACGAGATTTTCAATGTCTATGACGTCCTCATTTATCCAATAAACTTAATCGACAAAGCAAGCGTAAGGCGCAAAACCACACAAGCGGGCAGCGTTCCCCCCACCTCCGAATAGCCGCGGCATTCAAGACTCCAACATTGAAACAAACGACAAGAGCCATTGACAAGAGGGAGCAAGCAAAAATCTAGAGAAACAATGTCGCACGTAGCACGCAGCATCCGCCCGGCGATCCGCCGCCTCGCCGCACCCCGCCCGGCGACGGCAGCCGCGGCAGCACCCCTCATTCTTCAGCGCGGTTTCGCCGACAAGCCGCCCATCTACACCGAAAAGGCCGTCGACAACGAGCTGGGCGTCGGCGAGCTCGAGGGCATCAAGTTCCGCGTCGAGCCTCTGCGCCGCGTGGGCGAGGACGAGCGGACCATGCGCGCCCGTCTGCTCTGTAAGTCTTACCTGGATCTCGCAACCTCGGTCCTCCAACAACAACCTCTGACAAGGAAACCCGAACAGACCAATCCCGCAAGCGCGGCACGCTGGAATCAGACCTTCTGCTCTCGACCTTTGCCAACGAGAAGCTGCCGACCATGAGCAAGGCCCAGATGCAGCAATACGATCTCTTCCTCGACGAGAACGACTGGGACATCTACTACTGGGCCACCCAGGAGGAGGCCCCCTCCGCCTCCGCCAGCACCACGCCCACCACCGGCGACAGCAGCCACTCCGACGGCCTGTCGTCCGCGACGACCAACGCCGCCGAGTCCTACCGCGGCGTCGGCGCCGGCGCCACCTCGACCGTCGACGCGGGCCAGAAGCGCGAGGACCTCAAGCAGCAGCAGCAGCAGCCGGGCCCGCGCGCGGGCGAGTGGTCCAACACCGTCGGCACCTTCAAGGCCGCGTACCGGCCCGTCCCCGCGCGCTGGAAGGGCAGCGAGATTCTCGAGATGATCAGGACGCACGTGCGCAGTCGCAGGGCGGACGGCACCGTGGGCGTGCACCGCGACGTCCAGGAGAGGAAGGAGGGCGGGCTGGGGTTCATGCCGCCCCTGTTTGACGTCGACAGCGCCGGCAAGAAATGAAGGCGGGGAAAGTGTAGGTCTATCAAGTGAGGGAGGTTGAAGAGTGTAAAGATAAGCTGGCGGTTGTCGGGACGGAACGCTACGCATTAGATGTACAACATTCTTTCAGGAAAACAGGCATTCATTCACAGGCGCGGGCGGGTGGCGGATGGCATAGACAAGCGTTCACGACGGCTTCATTGGAAGCCCCAAATCATAAATAGCATAATATGAGTGTTGCGTAGGGAAAGCCGGCTTCATTGGGGGCTGCTGCTGCTACGGCTTCTGCAGGCTGTGAAATATACTAGATATGAGGCGGCTTCTGCTGATAATGATGTGCTCGTGCGGTATCCCTTTACTGGACACGAATCTTGCACGTCCGCTGATTCCAGCTGCAGACATGGACGGGCACGTTATGGATTCAAGCAACGAAATCGAATTTAATCTACCTGTGTCAAATAAGCACCTTTCTCTACAAAGGACTCCCCCGCACGTAGTTTTGTCTGCGGCACAAACCACCGAATGGCAAATCAATTTTAGCAACCCATGAAGGGGGGTCAAGGTTCCATGGTTGGCTGCATTTCCCCTCCAGCAAAGTGACGATAAGCGCCATTCGCCAACCGCCCGAAACCTGATGTACCAACTCATCTGGATTGCTGACTGTGTTGCGCTGCTGCACGATGATTGCGCCGTCCCGTCCGCTAACAGAGGGGGATCGACAGGGCAGGCAAACCTGTATTTTTCTTGATATCATTCGTATTCAGCCCTCCATATTCATATGGCCCTTGGCGCGACATCAGTTGAGTTTTATGCCGGTGTATGTGTGTGTGTTCTTGAACGGTGACGGAAGATTAAGAATTCATGATTGAGTTAAGGCAGGGTGCCGCATGTCTGCGACAAAACCATAGTATATCCATGAATAGATCGTCTGAATGCGGCCCGGTTCCCCCCAAATGCTCCTAAATGCCAAACCCAAAAATCCCGGTGACAATCACACCACCCACCCCCCTTCCCAAACCGTAAAACACCTTTTCTCGAGACGCCTCAATTAGAAACGCCATTCTTTCTCCAGCCATATATGCTGCAAATATACTTCATCCCCAGCCAGAAACCATCGCCTTTCGCCACCCAGTTCGCGCAGCTCCCAAAACCGGATATTCGCAGTGCTCCAAGATTACCCTCTTTTTTCATTTGTCTTCAACCTCACTCATACTGGTCCCACTGCTGGTTCCACGGCTTGTTCGTGCCTTGGAAATCCATCCCGTGCTTATAGCACCCGACCAGCTCCTCCTGATCAACACCGCAGTGCGTCTGCCCGTCACGGCCCTCGAACCAACCCAGACCGTACGTCTTGCCCAGGCCCTCGAGGTGGCGCACCATGCCCGCGTTGCTCAGCTTCGAAGTGCCGACGAAATCATAAATCATCTTGCTCTGGTGGATGAAGGCCAAGTGCGACGAGATGGTGTTGGGCTGTCGCGGCAGGAACGGGTGTCGTCTCCGAAGAAACACAATCGTTGCCACCGTGCCCATGTACACCAGGATGAAAGTGGCCAGACCATACGAGATCCAAAAGGAAGATACGGTCTCCTGGCCGGCGTTGATCCCGCCGAAATCAGAACCGTGGTGTACCTCGGGCGGCTTGAAGGCGGCGTCGAGGAACTCGGTGCCCACCACTGTTGCCAGACTGGTCAGCAGCACCGTCAAGAGCTCGGTCATCATGGTCCCGAACCCGACGAGGAACATCAGGACATGGCCGTTGAGGAACGCCTGGAAAGGCATATAACCGAACGGCATGGCGGTGTAATCCAAGGTAAGCGTCCTTGACGAAGAATGCCGTTTTGACAGGATGTAGTAGGGTTCCATCATCCGCATGTCCGTTTCTAAGCCGCCCCAGCCTAGCTTGATGCAAACGGCCAGAGCGGTTACAACCCAGGGCGCCTTGGTGGTGATGATACTCGCGTCGGAGAAGAGAAAGACAGGAATGAAGGCCAAGAAGAGAACGAGGCCGATCACGTACGGCAGGTAGCCGTCGAGACGCAGCATGCGCGGATGCGGGTTCTCTGAGAGGTAGTGCTCGCGGAACTGGTCCTTTTCTTGCGAAGAGAAGGGGTTCTCATCGTCTGGGGCCAGGGACGCGTTGCGAAGGATATATCGGCGGTGCTTCAGCTTGGCATGGATGTCGCTATGACTGACGACGTCTAGGTCCGCAAAATCTACCAGAATATGGCTCACTACAGCCATTGAAGCAAGACCTGCGATGCCCTTGACATCGGCTAGAAGGCCAGATCTCCGTCTCTGGAGGATGTATAGCAGAACGATGCCGAAAAACGCGCAGATGCACAGGGTAGAGGAGAGGAGCCGAGACCAAATTGCATGAAGGCGGATGACCTTCTCTTGGTCAGGGTGCGCAAGACGTGTGGCTCGATCAGGGTATAGAACGAACGCCGCTGCGCCGAATGTCGGCACCAGAGAAACGGCCAAAGACGTTGATATGGACGAGACAGCAACGGCGTAATGTCGCAGTTTCAACGCTCGAAACGGCCGCAACCAGCTTAGGCTCGTGACATAGTCAACGTTGATGGACTCGGCCGCAAGTGCGCCGCCATCCTTTGAGAGCTGGTAATAAGCCTCCAGGCGTTTGACCTCAAAGTCGGTAATCTGCCACAAGACACCGTAGGTGACGGAAAGCATTGTTGGAAGGAACTTGACAGCGAAGTACTGCTCCCCGGGGACATCAGCCGGGGATCGGAATTTGAGAAGCGGATCATGGCGCGATCTTTGGTAGAGCAACTCTACCATGATGGCGAGCGCAATCGATAAAGCGATCAGAGCGACAAGGTAAGGCCATCTCATTGAGAATGGCTTCCAATTAGGATGTGGGTAGAATACTTGTGTCTTCTGGCCCTTGGTGGAGGGGAACGTAGCCTGGCGCATATTGCCACCGTCGTCACCGAGATCTGGCCCGGCCATGACGCTGAGATCAACCTGGTCCGCATGTTTGGGTTTTGGCTCCTCGATAATGACCTCGATGACCTCGCCTCTCTTATTTGCTTCATCTTGGCCGAAAGCCTTGAGCGTCGCAGTGCGACTGAGCTTCCCACGGCGGGTGAAGGACCGCGTCAGTGACCCTTTGCGGCCAGTGGGCGATAACAAGAGCTCATCCCCCTTGATCGTGGTGTCTGGCTTGAAACCGGCTCCGAGGCCACCCGTGAGGTGACCGCTGGCCTCCTGCTCCTGCAACTTCTTGAGAAAGCCGTCATCTTGGAACCCCATGGGGCCCAGGGTGGCGGTTACATCAAAAACGGGTTCGTCTTCCGAGACCGACTCGAAATGGGACTGGCTGATGGGTGCAGCAGAATGCAGGAGCGACAGGTCATGCTCCTCCTCGGGAATGGGGTTGTGAGAGCGCAGGAGAGACGGGCGGCGGAAATTGCGGCTGGCCTTGGATGATGTTCTCGACAGATCATCGACAGCGGCAGGAACAGTGTCGTATCCGGCAGCGCCAGTATAGGCAAATGAGCCGGACCATGATGAAGCCCTCGATATGCGGCGTGGGGGTTCGTCCGATTCGTGCGGTGACGGTGAAGTATGATCCGAGTGCAAGTGAGACTGGAAGGAGGCAAGGGAACCCCTCCCGCGGAGTGGGCTCGAGGGGCCTTCGTGCTGCTGCTGGTAGGTGTCCAAGTCGCTGACCTCGGTCAGGTTGGAAATGCGATGGCTCAAAGGTGGTCTCGATGCGGATGCGGGGGCTCCAGGAGGTTGATAGGAAGCGCCAAAGCCTCCGTTATGCGCCATGGTCTATGGCGTTTTCATGTCTCGAGGACACGGTCCGTATGCTGTGTCGGCGCGGTTTGTGTTCGTCGGAGCAGAAACGGCGGGTAGAGGAGTTCCACTGCAGTGGGACAGGTGCCGAGTCGGGGCCGTTGGTGTAAGTCGCGAGTCGGGTGCAAACGAGCGTCGTGGTTGGAGCGAGCGGAGAGGTTGCGAGAACAAAAGAGAAATAGAAAATATTGCTGTCAATCAACGACAGGCATTACCAACGACTCTGTTGCCCGGTCAGTCTAGCTCGCAGGAAGTCAGGGGGATGGCGGGGTTGAAAAGACGAAGACACAGCAGGCGCGCGGAGATGGGGCAGCTGAAGGGCACGAGAGGTTTGTAGGGCTGCCGGGGGCGGCGCTATCTTGGTGGAGGTGTAGCGAGGCCAAGACTGGAGGGAAGTGATGTGCCCGAGGTGCGCGACGCAGGGAATGAAAAGCGCTTCCAATTCAGGGGAGTTCAGGCTGGGGCCCCCGGCTCAGGCAGGGCAGCCGTCGTCGGAATGAAAAGACATTCGCATCTTACCTGAGTTCCCGTCACCGAGTTCTGATTAGGTATTCCGTATGTATACCGATCCGGCCGGGCGTTTCGTTGGTTCGGTCTGGCGTCGTCCAAAGAACCGGTCCCTCCAGGGGAATTTCGGACGAGATGATAAGGCTGAGAAGATGGGGTGACAGCACAGCAGCACGACCACGACGACGGTAAGAGGTCAGAGGGGACGCGAGGAATGTGGCCAACATTAATGTCTTGTCACCAAAGCCAAAGCCTTAATCCATTCTTGCAGGCGGCGGCAAACGACTCGCCTTCCGGCTCCGGACCGCAGACTTATGCGTTTCAGATCCCAGGGCAGCCAGCAACCGTTGAGTCTTGACCAAGGACGGTTGACCCAAGGCAAGGTCCCCTTTATTTCGTTGACCGTTGAAGTGTCATCGCGACGATCCATTCCAATCTCGTACCGGTCGAATCGGAGATGCGAAAGGGACTCTGCTTTCCCATCCCTGACCTCGTCGGATTTTCTGCCTCTGGACGGTCCTGACTCCGTCCATTCCCAGATTAAGCGTGGTATTGACGGTGGAGAAATCCCATGGGACAATCACCACCTCACGGACCACAGCTTGCTTGCACCCACGCGCGCGTGCTCCCTCTCTGCCCTGCTGCAATCTCGAAATGGCAAGCTGCAGCACGGAAACTCGATAGTTGGTGCCTCCCCGACACCACTCCGACACTCCGGATCCGCTGATCTTGCCCTCGACATTGACATGCTGCGTGCTGACTGGTTACCGTAAACGAGAGACAGACGCCCGACGCTATCCAGCGGAAACCCTCCACGCGCGGGCTGCCTCGTGGTGCGAACACTCCTATTATTCTTAGCAGTATGCATGCCCGGGCTATATTCAGCCCTTACAGCCGGATTCCCAGCCCACTCTCGCCGACGCTTGGCAAAATCGCCGAACGAGTCGCTGGCATCCTGACGACACGATGTTGACATCATTCCAGGTTTCGTCGGGGTCTGCGGGGAGGCTGTGTGTGATTGCGAAGCAAGCCGCTTTCTCCAACACGACATGCAGCGTCTGGTCAGAGGCAAGCATCAAGCGCGCTGTCGTGACTGGGATTGCCCAGAAACAACACGGAGGCAGGTCCGTCATTGCTGCTGGCTTCCGACTCTGTAGATCAGGCAAGCAGGCTATCAGGGTCGTCAAGGCTCAAGGCAGCCCTCTCTGACTTGGCTGCCGCATACCATCGCCTTCCTTCTTGATTGAGAGACGCATAAATGGTCAACTGATCTTGTTCTGCCTCAGAAGGCTGCGGTCGCCATCTTTCAACACTCCCTTTTTCTAGACAAGTCCTCGTCATGTACACCACCAGATCAAAGTGGCCTCATTTTGCACCTGTCAGTGGGAGTAGCAGACTCAACTGAGAACCGCACATTCATGGGCTTCCCTATCTTTTCCCTCATATTCTCCGACAATCCGCGACCCTCGAAACGCCTTCGAGTCGGTCCTGCCGCGCCTCATTTGCAGGCCATCCCGCCAAACGCATGAAATCCTCACTTTTAATCCGTCCCAACTCAGGACGCTCTTGAGACGAAAACCTTGGCCGTTTGATCAACCCCAGGATTTGGTGTACTGCTTGGCGCGGGCGTCCCAGCGGCTGCGGGGCGCACACTCGCCACACAGGCTACAAGGTTTGCGCTCCCACCTTCAACGCCAATACCCACAACTGGTCGGTTAGCTCAGTTGGTTAGAGCGTGGTACTAATATCTCATCTGAGATGTTCAGTAATGCCAAGGCCGGGAGTTCAAGCCTCCCACTGATCACATGTTTTTTGCGAATCTTGCGAACGAGATGGATTTTTGTATCGCCCTCCGATCGCATTTTTCGTTGTGGCACACATGTTCCTTGTGTTCATTTCTTGGTGAGCGCAGTCACTTTTTCCCCAAAAATAGGTGAGGTGAATGAGCGACCGAATACGAGTGAATCGGCCTCAGACTGCTGCAAAGGTCTACAACACAATTCACAACTTGCAAAATTGAGTGAGGTAAAATCTTCAGCATAAGTGCCTACCTATGGAGGAGCTCTTCTCATTTGGGAGGTGTTACACAGCCGTCACAGTTATTCCTGCCTTCGCTTGCCTCTACCTTGACGATGCGTCAAGCTCGCGGGTATCGCCCGAATCTCCGGCCAACAATTCCCTTCATGCCCTTGCACAGCTTGCTTTTCAATACGATATCGAGTCATGGTCATTTATGCCACAGCTGCCATCGATGACATTTGACATCTCCGTACGGTGATCCGGGGCAAGGGTCCGATGTGTAACACGAGGCATCTGCCTGAGGGCCCAAGTGTCAGTCCTCCGTGTTGAACCGAGACCGACATCAGTGGTTTTTGCATAGCTCTTCAGCAGATCTTTCAGATTCCCATGAGGCAGATTACGATCTCGGAAGATGGCATCCGATCATTCAAAAGCGGAGCGGTTTCTGATGAGATTACGCAAGGAGCGGCAAGCCCCCCATCTGTGACTTGAAGATGAGTTTGGCCGGCCTATCCTGACGCGAGCTTGCCACCTGCCGAGCCTCGACATATCGACTTGAAGCTTGGATACCTCCCGGAGTAGTCCTAATACGCGGTTCCCTGATCGGTGGTTCTTGTACAGACGGGACGCTCCGTACGGCACAATTTGGTCCTTGACAAAGTAGTATGGATTGAGTTTCGAATAGAAGGAAAGTCTTGAGCACAGTGAATGCTATGAGGCTGCTAGCTCCCTGGTTTAAGAGAACTCTCGAATGGAGCAGGGAGGTAGTGAAGCGCAAGAGCGAGGCGAGCCTTCTGTCCGTTGTCGATTGTAACTCATCCAGCCGACGCTGCGCAAACGAATTCCATTAGAGGTTAAGTGGTACGCTTTCTGCTCTCCTGGCTTTATAAGTTTCTCAACCGTTCTTACGTCTTGACGGCGAGCGTTGTGGTGCCCTTGTAGAGTTCAGCTTAGATGGAACTGGGCATTGTCGCTGCAGTGCTCACTGACGATTGTTATTGACCAGTTCTCTGTACCTTGAAAGATCTTGGCTTGATGGACGATGCTTGGGTCTATATTGAAACAGCGGGATCCTGAAGAGACGCGAGTAGTCTCTGGTATGTCCAGTCAGCGGGCTATACTTGTCCATTACCAAAGCCTAGATATAGCTTTTATTGGCAGATTCAAACTGATAGCTTTGTAAATGGTCTGAAGTGATAAGTTGTTTGGTTAATGAAGCCTGTCTCTACTTCGTCTTAAGCTATCGCTCTGGGGTATCTAGCAAATGGGGCGAAGAAAGAGGAACCCATGTCATGTCTTATAGAGGCTTGAAGCTAGCACGCATGCTGCATCTGTTACGTTGCAAAAACACGCTCAGTTGAGCGTATAAGGTAAGTCCTTTTCTTTGAACAACACATTTTCTCGAGACGTTGATCTGGGGAAACCTCTTCAAGCAATTAGGCACACGTAGCAAATGCCACAGCATATGTCTTCAATAGTTCACATCAACTTGACATCTGAATATCTACCCATGAAGTATGACCTACATTGTAGCAGTCAGTGAAAGACTAAGTACGTTGTACTCTCTTTGTCCTGTAGTTTATGTATAGATCGCTGCCGTCCCACTCAGAGTCACTGTCCTAATTCAACGAGGCTTTCGATGGGTTGTATGCTCACAACAGGGAATATGGGTTGTCAACATTTCCGTAGCCCTCGAAAGGTAGACTCGAAAACCACATTCGTCCCTCAACGCAATTTTGATCTTGGGTGTCCGGACATCACCGGGCTGCTGCTGTCGCTCATCGCAGTCTTCTAGCGCGTCAAAAGGACTGGCCGATACAACCTCGATTTCCACATCTGGTGGAATATGTTTGTGTCACAAAAGACCCATACAGAACAAGAAAAAAAAAGGAGAATGGGTGTGGTGTAGAAATGAATACCTGTGGGTAATGGGTAATGGGTTAGACTTAATGTGGCTATGGTTAGAACCTGGAAAGCATCGCCAAACTGTTGAGCGTTTATGTGATTGGAATTGCTCTTGATACATGATTGGAGATGGACGAATTCCCAGACCGAGGCCTCAAAACTCACGACCTTGGGCATGAGAGAGATTTATGGCATAGGTCACATTGGTTTCTAGCCGCATACCCATCGAGAAGAAAGCCAGAACAATGTCCATTTGGAGTGACTGGGGAATTGCTTTCCATTTGGTGATGACAACCGCTCACTTTCTTCCCATAGTTGGTTCAATATTTTCATGGGCTCATTCGTTTTCCATTTTGACGGAAAACTTTTGGGAGTCTCTCGCGAGAAATGTCTCTTCAAGGAATACACGCAGATACAGTACCTAATAGTCGTGAGACAGTCCGCGAAGTAAAGGTGTTCTCCTGGAGAATATTCGATGCAGCTGAACATCAGCACAAAGAGATAACTGAGGGCCGGGTTGTACAATACCGATTTCCCCCTCC